TTTCGAGAGACCTGTGTACTTTGAAGGATCTGGGCGAAGAATTCTGTCGGGTTCAGTGCCTACCGTTCAAGAAGAGGAGGGACAAGAAAAACCATTCTCAGTGCGATCTCGACGCCGGAAAGCGAAGTCTACGAACCTCCATGGATTTTGTTACCTTTACATATGAACACAAAGGAAAGTACTCGGTGAACACTGTAAATAAGAATGATAAAATAGCCGAATTGAGGAATGAGATTTCTGACCTCAAAGAGCTCACTTTTATACAAAAGAGATGAAAAATATAATTGTGTGTTCTGATTCTAAAAAAAGCTGGCTTTAATATCAGCGAAAGCAGAACAAACAGCATAAGACACAGAGCGTAAAAACACTAGTACTTTAAAATGTAGGCTTGCAGCTAAAAAAAACCGAGAAAATGAAAATTTCTTTAAAAACCTGTCAAACCATCAACCATCTGACAGCCACCATCCCAACGCCCGTGACAAACGAATTTAAAATCAGGCCAACTTTTGCGAGATTTATTCGCAAGACGAATGCGCCTCCGTTACACCTTTCACGGACAAAACAAAGAACCACTTCTGTTTCATATCAAACTAAATGCCACCAGTTCAGTCTTCTATCGCCCTTCAGAGCTACTTGGAAAATTGTCATAACGCTACTTGCAGACTGCATCTAAGCCAAAAAATACTTTGTAACTCAATGAGGTCATGGTTCTAAAAGAGTTGAAACAAACTCTGCTTTAAACCTCACCGATAGTCATCAAGAATAGTCATCATGAATAAGACAGAAAACACAAAAGAGGCCACTCAAGAACAGAGTTCACTTCAAACCTCTCAAAGCACCGATAATAAAAAACATGTAGGAAAGGGTTAATGAGATTATTGACCAAATGCATCGGGGAAAACACATTGAATTGGCTTAGAAATGGCTTTCACAAACTCCCAATATCCGCCTTCGGATACGCAATTAGCCATTGCCGAAAATTATTTTTACTAATCACCCGATCATTTCTTACAAAAAAGGAAATTCGCTTACGAATAAGGTATTATCACTTCCTTTAGGAAGAAGTGAATGCATAATTTATCCGTCATTTCTTTATAACTCATATGTATCTTCTAAATGTAACATTTCTATCTGACTCATTTTTATCTAACTCCCTTTGACTTGTACGAAGGATGTAGTTTCCCTTCAGAAATAAACCTGGGACTAATGTCTTACTAAAGAGTGATTTATTAATGCAAAGATTGCAAAAACCGATGCAGATATTTGTTAGCTGTGTATTTCATTGGAGAGTTAGCAACCAACGAGGCATGGAAATATGGTGACGAGAGTTTCGAAGCCGCATTAGTTAAAAAAAAAATCGCATGTTTTTGGTTTAAACCGCCTAAAGCAAGCCACACCGAGCTCGTAACAGGCGGTTTTCGTCTGGCATCTTGTTAAAATTCTCCATACGAGGTAGTCTTGTCTCTCATATTGAAGATACGTCAAATGTACTTTCCAAACTTACTTCATCGAAGGTGTTTTAGTCATTACTTTGGCAAAACTTTGGCATAGACTTCCATCTATATGCTGATGACACTCAACTATACACCACCTTCAGTTGCGATGATAAGAATGACCTTACCACTACAATTTCCCGGATTGAAAGCTGTCTTGTTGATATCACCAACTGGATGACTACTAACAAACTGAAACTAAATACTGATAACCGAACTTCTTATTCTCCATTCTAAGTTCAGACCGCCCCCACGGCTTCCTTCCATTAAAATAGGAACTGATATCATCAAGCCTACAAAAATAAGGCGCGTAATATCGGCGTCATCCTCGATAACACCGTAATGATGTCTTTTCATATTAACAACAAAGATAAAGGGGCATTCCACCACCTAAGAAATATAGCTAAGATTCGTAAATATATCAATGTCACAACAGCTAAAGTTCTTGTACACGCATTTGTAAATTCGAAGCTGGATCTATGCAACTCACTCTTGTAAGGTCTTCCCAAGTATGAAATTAACAAACTGCAATGTGTCCAAAATGCTGCAGCACGTGTGATTGCCTGCTTAAGTAAGTTTGATCACATAAGCGATACTCTAAAGGAGCTGCACTGGCTGCCGGTGGAGCAAAGAATAATCTTTAAGATCAATCTTATTTGTTTTAAGATACTCAACAATTTAGCTCCTGATTATTTGGTTGACCTAATTCATGTTTATGAACCTACGAGGTACCTTCGCTCATCTTCAGACAAGTGGCGTCTTATTATCAAACCCTATTACTTAAATACATATGGTTTAAGGGCTTTCTCAGTTATTGCCCCTATACTTTGGAACAGGTACAGAGCCACTACGGGCCTGTACCTGATCAATGCATTGGAACGAAAAATCGTCCAGGGTGTGTGGGGTTTTGTTGAAGTGTATCGCTACTTCACAAGTTGCTTTGTTTGTGAGCATAGTAGATTTGTGATTTCGAAACCTCACTTTAAAGTCGGTGGTAGTAGATCCCACGTATTTCAGGCGACATTTCTTACAGGAAGCCAAGTAAATCACTCGCCAAGTAAATGCTCGCCGCATTGCTTCTTTGCAATTGATTACGCCACTCATATTAACATATTTAGTATTCCTATCTCTTAGTATTTAGGGTTTGTTTCTTGTATTTTGTCCATTGCTTTCTTTGTAATTAGGTTTTTTGTTTATTAGCACCAGTTCATTAGTCGTTATCTGTAATTACGTAATCATTAGCACTTCGATCCTATTTAATCCTCTTTTTTTATTTCAAAAGTTGTAAATAACTGAAGAAGGTCTCTGACCGAAACGTTTTTTATTAAAATTTTTTATATTTTTTACGTCAGAAGTTGTTCATCCTCGCAATTCTTTAAACTTTCTATATATATATATATATGTATAGGATTTTAGTCCTTTTTGAAGCATTATAAAGCGCGTAGCACTGAAAAGGATAGGCGCTATATAAATATTTTTATTATTTTATTGTTATTATAAAGCTTTATTACGTCAGTCAAATTAGCTAATTTTTCATTAATTATGCACTTGAAATGTTGTGTGAGCCGCAATAGTCTGATCTCCTTTTGAAAGAAAGCAAGCGAGTAAAGGTAAAAAACTTGCTCAATTAAGAAATAAAATTATTCAGAGATTAAAGTGAATTTGGAAAGATTTATTGTTTATAGTGAGTGTCAATAAAAGGCAAGATCGAACCATTTATTGGCTAACAATGCAAGTCATTAACGACGATATCATGAAAAAAATGTTTATGTGCCTAAACAAGTTCAAAACAAGTTTAAAAAACGCTTGTTAAAACATGGTTCATGATTAAAACATTCACAATTATAAAAAATCCAGAGCGGGGCATTAATGATGCAGAGGTCATCTTGCCACAAATAAAGCGTATCCCCATGTCCTTTGAAAAATTAGCATTTTCTTGTTTAAGTTTGCATGTGGCTAGCATACATTTCGTCAATAAATATGCTTCACGTGTTGGACGCAAAGAAAGCTCTTGATCTCGTCTCCAATCATGTTTTCTTTTTATGTATCTGTTCGTTTATAAAAACAACACAGTACGTTAGTACTTTTGGCGAGATAATATCGTATGTTCACGTCATATTGGCTTAACTACTTAGCTTAGTGTCATGGGTTAGTGTTCCACTAAATTTCTACGATATCCTGAACTATTCACGCATTTTGATTGGTTCTTACTTGTGGTCTATTGGCGGACAGACGAATACAACAGTAGATGACGTTACCATCGACAACAGTTTGCTCTTATTTCATCATATGAAACAAATAGATTCTATGCTATAGCGGGTCAATACAGTATCGCGTAAGAGGTCCGAGTGTGGTATGAACGTTAGTGACACTTTCGTCTGCGTTGCGTAGGTCACTTTTTTGTTCTCACCACATTTGGACGTCATCTATGATCTATTTCTGAAAAGACGCATGGCATAAAATATTTTTGTTAAACTGAAATCGAAACTGGACTTGAACTGAATTTCAGTAAATTTTTTTCCTAGTATGCTGCGTTTGCTGTGCATTACTTCAAATACACAGTCTCGAAAGGAGTCTTAAAAATAATCGGATTATTCTGTCGAACCCTGGATTCGTCGTGAACATTAGATCCATTCAATACATGTAAATGTATCTTTCATTTATAGTAAACAGAGAAAATGACCACCGATACGCCCAAGTTACGAAAGCGCCCAGTGTTCTTTCAACAAATTAAACAAACAACAGAGACAAGGGTACTTAGCGATATATTTCAACGATCAAAATATATGTTCCCGGGCATTTGAATTTTAGAGATGAATGATATGCTACGCGCGTTGTTATCGGATTGAAATATGCAAACACTGTCAAATGTCTCTAAAAAGAATTGAGGGCCTCTTAAGTGATCACTTAGCCATGATCTTCTGCGATCTATCACTTGCATGACTGTCTCGGATTTTCCCATTCCCCCGTTTTCGGATTAACTGAAAAAAAGGTCCTCTGTAGGTTGCAAGTCACTTTTTTAGACAAATATTCCCGCGTACGTAAGCGATTCGTCTTCCTGCGAACAAGCCTCTGATTTCATAATTTGAAGAAGTTGCATCATCATATTTTAGCAGACTGAAGCAATTAATGACGTACGTAGCTTCTTTAAATGGTGTGTAATTCTGTCTTTTAAGTTTCGCTTTCGCTTCTTTCATTTGATGTTTTTTCGCTTTCACTTTTTCGTCTTATGATGCAGTTGCTTCTACTGAAAGAGCTTGTTGGATACGAAACTAAAATATTCGGTCTGAAAAAAAGTTACACGTATTTATACTTGTGGCAAAACTTTTAATAGTTCATTGCAGCTCGCAGTTTCGAAATAAGTGTTTATGTGAGTGCAGATCACATTTGCAACGAACATCATAACTCAGTTTCCTATTTACAATAATTCTGCAAGTTTCATGCCCAACTCCTTTGAAATAAATACAAATGGCATTTTTTTAATTCTCTGTTTAACAAGGTCGGTGTACTTTTTTATGTAATATTCCATTTCTTTTAATTTGTACTTTTATTAACTCAGCTCATCTTGATCATTCATATTTAAAAGAATTTTCTTTTGATATTAAGAGTAACTTCCTTTTCATATTATTATGAAAATTTTCCAAGGATCTTATTCCTACAATAGGGTCCATTATTTGAAACAGTCGTAAACCATTGATAGGGTTTTGCCATTTGAGAAACTTACAAACCTAAATTTTTCTTTACACCCTTTCTTGCAATGTGGTATGGCAAAAAAATAATTATAAATGAGGCGCTGATCATATTTCTTTATGCACTCATTGTCTTTAGTACTCTTTGGAAAACTTGTCTTGAACTGTTCAGCAGTGGCGTGTTCTTCTTGGATCACTGAAGTTGAGTCTGTGGTTTTTTCCTTCTCTGATTTTGCGCTGCGAATCTCACGCTGTTCTTGTCTCGTATTGATGTTATTTTTTTCCGAAGAATTTATCATCCCATGGAGTAGAGAGACTGAAGGAACCTTGGGTCTTGCTTCCACTTGTATACTACAGTTCATGATTAATACGCCCAGCGCCATGAAGACTAACTGAACAAACGTTGAAAGAACAAAAACAGTCATATGAATAACAATTCTACTAGTTTGAAAATCTATTTTCGGCAAACTGAAGGACGTGAAAATTGAATAATTGATCGTGTGAGTAACTACCGGGATAATGACTGAAGAAATGTTTGAGGGGAAAGCTAGCTCATTTAAAAGCAATCATCAATTCAAATGAAATGGTCATACCCATGATTTAAAGCAAAACGAAAATAGAAAGACTTCGGCGTTCTTTTTATCAATACGGTACCAAGGTGTGAGAAATGTGTAAAAAATGTGGTCGAATCATGCTAAAACAAAACTATGTATAATTAACCAAGAAGTCAGCCTTTACCTGAATTGTTAGTGAGGCAGACATATTCATCCTTTCTTGGTTCGACCGCGCTGAAGATTTACGAATTAATATATATCAACAACTGATGACTGAGGTCTGAAGTTAGTTCTCCGTTCCTCCCCTTTAATACTATTCCGTTTGATTTAGACGACTAAAAATACCTTTTATTCGTTTCAGTGACGTTTCTATTGTTTAGGAGTGTAGGTGTAGCTTTAAGTCAGTTCCGCGCGACCGAGCAAGAAAGGGAAGCAGTTACATCCAGTTGGGCAAAGGGGGAAAAAATCCCTTTAGTCTCTGACGTTGAGTGAAATCACGCCGTAATTTTCCGTCCCCTGTTTTACTTCAATTCTTATTACAAAAACTTTTCAAAATTTTGGTTCCTTTTTCTTTAATGCCAAAGGAAATAATATACCAAAGGTTACGTGCTCAACCTTATTAAGTTAAAAGAAAAATGTGTTCATTCGTTTCTTTTATTTGATCGTCCTAAACAATTATACTTGTTGTAGAATTGTAGACCTTTTCTTATGTTTAAGGACTTTTTTGAATTTCTCCAACTTTCATCAGGTTATATCCTTGCTGTAGTTTCTTCCGGAAAAGCGAAAGTCAAAATGGTGTCACCCGGCACTGACTGACATTACACTGGCACTGACTGACATGACATGTTAGACATTCAAACAAGAAACCACAATACAAATCAACTGTTTCATACATTTTTATCTCCAATAAACAAAGCAATCCAAAATGCGTTTGAGGCAGAAACCGTGAGAGAAATTTGATAAATGCACAATTTTCTGTGCGGTCGTTTCGAAACGGCCCAAAAATAAACTTTAAAGTTAATCATTCTTACGTAATGATGTAGGTGAAGTCTGCTTCAAAGTTGAAACTTAACTTAGATCGAAAGTAACTTAACAAGGGAAAGTTTTCCTTCTCAAACTAGGAGATGAGGCATTAATCCCTCTCTCTTGCATCATTTCTCTCCCTTAATTTTTTGAACCAAAAAAAAAAAAGATGGAAATTTTTTTTCATTAAGATATTCTTTAGTTCCATTGTATAATTTTTTATAAATGGCCTGTGCATGATTTGTCCGGCACGTCAAGCGTGAATGAATTACCATATTCTTGTCTTTAAATCGCTGTTATCAAGGTTAGTAAACATACAGTCGATTCATCGACTGTATCGTTTTCGTGGATACATATATTGTATGGTTTGGGCCGAAAATGTCGATAATGGGGGAAAAATATATTACTGCAGTACCAATAATAAAGCCAGGTAGGTGGAAATAGTTCACATGCAGCTATTTTTTCAAACTCACATGTGCCAAAATTATTCATTAAGTTCTTAAATTACGCACGAGTGATTTGTACACGGAAAAGCCTAAAGAGGCTTCTGTCTACCTAAAAAGGCGCTTGTAACAGGTAGCAGACAGGGTTGGGTCGAAATAGAAACGAAAGAACATGTCCTTTGTCGCGCCTGTTATTGGTACCCTGGTTTATTTTGACAGTTTTGGAAACGCCTATTAATAGAGGTCTGGACGCGTGAACGCTTCTGAGTTCTACCACGGTTGACTCTATACATAATGATTTCTATCCAGAATTTTTTAATTGAAAGGTCTCGCTATCGACTGGCCAACCATAATCTTCGCTTGGAGAACAGTTCTCTATTAGCATAGTTCCATTTTCAAAGGAAGAAACATTTTTAATTGATGAAGAACTTCGAAACTATTTTAAAGTGATAATCTACTTGCTTAAACCAACCAGCCATTTTAGCGGATTTTACCCCTTAATGAGATCACGACGATGTCGAAACCTTTGTGCGCTTTTCAAATGTGCTTTATTCTCAAATTTAGCTTTACTTGTTAAAATGCAAAAGTTTCTTGTCATAATTTAAATAGGCTCGGCTTCTACCGCTGTCACGAAGTACTTTCTATCTACTTGAAAAGATAGTGCTAAGGTAACTTTAACGTTCACAAGCGTGGTTTATATGAAAGCCCTCTACATGAAGTGTGCTTTAAACGTAACCACTAGCAACAAAATTATGGAGCAGGTTTTATGGCAAGTATTCTGCTTAAAATAGATCTCAGCAAATTATTACAAATCTACATTTAGAATTAATATCTTACTACTTCAAATCTCAGGGTACTGTTGCCTTGTTATTAGGAACTTTAAGAAAACTACGACGGCGACGGCAAAGAGAACTTAACGAAACGAAAGATATAAGAAGCAAAACAATAGTGAAACACGTGCGTTTTAAACCTTTGTACATTCATAGCCTCCCATACAGAACAAAAACGTGAATCACCAACTTTTACGTCCTGTTAGCGAGGAAACCTCGGGAGCAATTTAGTGACGCTTTTACTTTGAACTCAGCACTTCATTCACATGTTTTGCCGAAGTGAAGATGTCGCACCGTCAGAAACGGTTAGCGCATCGAGCTAGTAACAAATATCTTAGAGGAAAATAAGCTATGTTTTTTCGGAAACGTTTTACCACACGTCGCCGTAGTGACATCTTAAACTCCCTATTGTTTTTTTCAAGGTGTCCTTCTCTGAGGACAAGAATTATTCTTCCTATTCGCTCTCACGTACTGTTTACCATTTTTACTCCACTCAAGTGCGGTCGAAAAATTGTCCAAGTATAGCAGGCGTCTCCGCTTGTCTTCCTTCCCCAGGAGCAAGTACACCTTGTTGACCTTTAGACTATTGCAGCTGCAGGTTATTTCCTGTCCTCTTTTGTCCAACAACTGATGTTTGCTGTTGATCTTGACTCTTCCTTGTTTGTACAAGCGCATTATGCGGACTCGTAGACGAGGCAAGCCATTTTTTGATATCTCAGATTCCATTCGGGCTTTGATCACTGACAAGCAAAGATGTATGAATAAGACTGTGATTAGGTGTACGCACAGATTGTGTCTGTATTGATTAACGACTCGTATTCGTGTTGAGTTAGTACTGAATTATAAGTTGAGATCCACTGAATGGGTTCGTCATTTACCTTGCCTCGGTTCGAAGTGAGTGATACCTGCTGTGTCGAAAAGTGATTTACGTATGGGAATTAAAATATCGTGCCTTCAGGTTCACAAATGCTAAAAAACACTTTGACAATACTTCAAACGCGAATGATATCAAACTAATGCGTCGATCAATTCGAAGCATCAACATCCCTCAAGGCAAATCTCCCAAGTATTTCAACTTTAGAAGATTGGCTAGGTCAGATTCCCCACCCAAGTGCTGGGTTTTATGGTAATTTTGTTTTTGTTTGTTTGTTTGTTTGTTTGTTTGTTTTTTGATTTGAGGCAGAATGGCCAAGCTTTAAAACCTAGACCTTGTAGACCTTTTCTTCTGAGCTATTTACTCGCAATAGTTGACTTTTTACCTGTAAACAACTCCATATGTAATATAAAACACTTTCCCAATTTCCCAACCCAAGCCAGACAAGGTTCAAATTGCAACCCACCCCCCCTCCCCCCTCGGCACGGGTGCGGTTGCCTTAGAAGGGAGATGTCGAAGCTTTAAATCAAGCGATGCATAAGAAGCAACATGGTCAGGTGAACACAGGCCAATCACATGGACAGAATACTACAGAGCCTGATAAAGGAGGATTAGTCAGGTATCCCACAATTCCACGCTTCGAACTATATTATCAATTCGCTCTAGTCACGTAATCACTCAGTCGAGATGGAGGTAGTTGTGATCAACAGCGAAGTGCTCTCGCGTTCGCCACTAATTTATGTCAACTGCTTGGATTTGGATAGTCAGACTTACATCAAACTTTCCAATTTCGCTTGTTTTCCGAGACTTCCAGGCTTCTCAATGTGATATTCTTTCAATTTACCGAAACAGCTAAGGGATGAAAGCGAAGATCGAAGACGTTCAGTGCTTATAATCTTAGACTTCGATAGCGTCGAAAATCGGTCTCTTGCCGCTTCGGATATTCGACCATATGACGAATATGAAGGAGACAACAATATCCCAGAAATGCCCTGGCTAGACTTACAAGTCTCAAATTGTAATTGCAGTAGCTACCCGACGAAAGGAAAAATCGCCGTGAAAAGCCAGTCTTCTGAAGAAGTGGCAAGCGACTCGAGTTACCAAAAGAAATAAAGAGAGCACTCCATCACAAGCTACTAATCTTAATTCAGAAGCAAACCTTTACACAGATGTACTAAAAGGGGCATTTAATACAGGTAGCAAAGGCTATTGATCGATCAAAAGCGGGCCGGGTGATATACCAGTCGAGGAAAAACGTCAAAATTTTGGCGCCAAATTTAAGCAATTTTCAACGGCCACATATTCCTACAAAATTTGGGGACTTAAGGGGACCTTCGCTAATATTGAAAAGCGTTATCATTCAGGCACCACCGGGCGGAATAATATGCTTAAGTACCCACCAATAATAGCACAACAGGCAAATATCGATCAAGCGTTAAAGTAAAGCGCATAAACAAAGCCACTCAGTCGTGCATACCACTCATAACAAAGCCATTTTTTTTCATTTAGAGAAGAGCAAGTTCAAGTACTAAACTACTAAAGTCAACTGTTACAAGAACAGGTAAAACCGTTCAAATCACCTTCCGTGCTCCTGAATAAGGACAAACAGCCGTTTAAAATTCAGTCGACTTTCCAGCGCGTGCACGCGAATTCGATGCAATGTGACACCTTCTCATCGATAATAACGCGCAAGGGCTAATGGGATACCCGGCTAATCCTCTCTTGAACCTGATCAAGCTTCCGTGAGGGTGATTCAGGGAATTTAGCTTCAAGTACCAATGACAAAACTTACCAAAATCACTCAAACAAAACCTTCTCATGACATGTCTCTTGTTGCACCTTTTATTACAAATCTGTGGAGGAGGAAGTGTTGAGCCTCCTTGTTCTGAGGAATTCCGCCCTCGGTTAATTCGGTCTTGCTTGTCTAGAGCAAATATGGGACTACAAAGATTAGGAAATTGATACTTTTACTGGCTATTCCTGTAAATGACATGTGCTAAGTATATAAACCTATCTTGAAGGGTTTCCTTTTATTTGAAAAAGGCTCATTCATGTGATACACTCGTCCATTCTTTTTCTTTTGTCTTTCTCGATTCAGGTCTTACCTCTTTCCAAATTCACTATAAAGTAACTGAGTAATGCACTTGTTTTTTCTTTTTTTAGTTCTTTCGAAACCTTCATTTCCCTCTTTAGTTGTGTCTTTTAGCATTCTTTCCTTTATGCGTGAATTTTTTCATTCATCCCTTCTTTTTTTTTTGCGTACTTACCAGCCACGCAGTGGCGCCTCAGAGTGAGGCTCAGTGGACCCCATATCTTGCTTCCGGCCACCGCAGCAAAGCTGATGTTGATAGTTAGCATGGCCTCCCCTGTAACCCTCCCAGTGCATGGGAATTTCACCCTGAAAACTGAAGGCAGAAGAAAAGTATTACGCTAAATGGCTGACTTAGTTCTGTGCCCACAGAGGAATCATACCCCTGATTAGACTATCGTTAGTGAAGAGTAAGACATTTCGTGTTGGGGAAAATGGCCGTTGCGAAGTCAACTTTAATGACGGAGATAGCGTTGTAAATGGATTACGTTTATTTTAAACGTCCCTCTTTAAAAGAAAAAAAACCTTTGAAATCCTTAATCTTGTTTAATAGTGGTCTATGCCATGTCATTTCTTAATAGCACGCGAAAATTCACTTTACAATCAAATTATCTTATCTCCATATGCTTCGGCGAATATTTTTAGTAAGCTTTATTTTAGGCTAATGCGATGTGCAGTTCTGCATAGGAATAATCTCTTAACTCTTGACCTTGCAGATTTGGCGAATCATAATGTAAAAAGGACACGTGTCAAGGTGTTTTTGACCCTCCGTGCTTGAAGACCACGGTGATATCACTTGTTTCTTTGGATACATAATCTGGTAAGAAGTAGTCTCGAGAAATCCTCTCTATCTTATTCGATTTAAGGTAAAAGTAAATGGGTTTTGATCCATCACCGGATTTTTTAATGGAAAGGGAGCGTCCATGTATAAGATAGAATACTCATACTAATAATTTGAATCTTTGCTAAGGTTGTTAAACAGAGGATTAGCGTTAATTATAACAGAAAAAGTGAATCCTCTTAATCTCTTATCGATCCGGTGCCAAAGTCAAAGTTTGAGATGCCAGGTCAGCGGGCTAATGAAATCAACGTATTTTCTGATTTGTATAAATTCTGTTTGATATAAATAATCCGCTCTCTTACGCTCATGAAAAAAAAACAACGTGATTGAGTAACTTTGTGTGCCCCAGTCAAAAGATATATGGAATTATGATAATATTCATGAAACGTGGTCGGCCTGAAATTCTGTATGTTTTCTCTCCTCAACGTTTCGTACCAAAGGGGTCAGTTTTTTTCCCTCGCATCCCTCCAGTGCCTTCAGTCGGCCAATAGAACTTAAAAGGCGCAGGCAGTCTCCTTTGCAACATGACTTCCTTGTTAAAGTGACCTTTACCAAGGTTATGAAACGGTTGAAAAACAGAAAGTATTCAGTATACGAGTCTGCACGGAGTTAGGTCTCATGACCACAGTCATCTACATTCATGGCCAATATAAACCTCCCTTCAAGGAAGCTTAACTCTCCATTCCCTCCCCTCCCCACCTTCCCTTCCTTAGAAAAATTAGAGCAATCATAAAGCACTAGAACGAATAAAACTTTAAAACTCACTCATGGCATTTTTGTCTTAAGCGCTAGCGATGACAAGGGGAGGGCGTGGTCGACACGTTTTGACTAGAACTGCAATACCTATCCTTGCAATTGACCACCACGAGACACCGACAAAAAGATCAGCCTACGAGAGTCAATAATTAAGTACCACCTTATGTTGAGGCTCTACAGGAATTAGATCTACAGCCCAAGTGACGAAGCTTGCGAAGTGTCTGGCATGCCAGAGCCCCGCAGAAACCAAAAGGATTCGCAGTTATGTCGCAACCCTAGTGAAAGCCTGCTCATGCTCGCAGGCAAGTCAATAACAGAATTTGCTTGTTGAGCAAAAGGCGATCTTTACTAGTTGAAAAGCAAATTTACGAAAAAAAAGTCTTTTTAATTTGCTTCTGTAGACAGAACAACAAAATTAGGCTTAAATTTGAAACCAGAGGAACAAGTAATAAAATGAAAAAAGAAAAAAAAAAAGAAAAAAAAAAAAAAACGCGTCCGTCGCTTAGATAACAATATTCTTTGATTTTTCTTTGTTATTGCATAGCTACTTTACTTTACTTTTTATCTTCTTATCTTCTTTATTCTTATTTTATTATCATCTGTACAAATATATTTTTATTTCATCGCGAGACAGATACCGGAGATCCACAGCATATATTATGTAACATGAAAATCGACTGAAACTCCCGCAACTGAAATTAATATTGTATCATGCTCTGCCAAGAGAGGATAAAATGCCCTTTTGGTTCTGCACAATTAATCAGCAACCTTTATTTATATTATCATTTACACCCCGAAAACACGTTTTGTTCATCAGCTATACGAAATGACCTTAGAGCAGGCATCTAAGACAAGAAATCGAGATAGCATATGGATTGGATTTATTCAAAATATAACAAGATGTCCACAATTAAATCGTATCTCTCAAGCTTATGTTAACCATGTTGCTTTGTAATGGTTTTTCGCTGTGATTGTTCCCTTCCTAAAATATATCGATTCGTCATGTGGGAGTCTATACTGTCTCGGATTTTGTGATAGTTTCAAATAAATCTCTTGTCTACCAAAAAAGGAACCTTCACTCCTACATCACAAGACTAGTATTCATTCATCAATCGCTGGAACCCTCACGTCATGTTCTGAGTCTCAGTAAACAGTTCTCAAGACTTTCTAAAATTAGCCCATGCGCCTCGAATGCTATTACTCCACTCAGACTTATTGGTAGATGACCTGCGCTGTCAGTATTTCTTTAGCAGATCGGTGAACAATTCGACGCCTAAAAACAATGACTGTGATTTTTTGAGAAACGTTTTCGACCGTTACAGCTTCGATTAAAAAATATTAAGAAATTTCTAGTCGAACTTATGAAATCAAGTAAACATGTTCAATACTCAGTCAGACGAACTCATTTTACGCGCAAGATATAAAGATGTAAATCCAGCCACAGAAAACAGCATCTTTCCATTTTTTTTTTCTTTAATTTTCATCGAGATCTTTTCATCTTGTACACTTTATATACTTGGAAATTGAATGACATAATCCGTTTCATATAGGTGAAATAATGGTGTTGTAGACTTCCAAGCTTGGATTAACGCCTAGATGGAATTACTAGAAGCTGATTCAACTTTTTTCCGCATAATGAAAGCCCATTTTGTGCGTTGATGACTGCGTTGATTTATTGGCATCCACCAAAAATTCCCTTTAAGGTCCCCCAGACAGTCCGATTATTTCCATTTGCAAATCTTTATCAAGACGAATTGACAGCTTGAAAAACTCTATTTTAGCCTGCAAACTGTTGCATTACCGTGACCTCTTCCGTTGACCAGACTAGAGGCCGTGAGTACGTTTATATATTTTTGAAAATCATATCATCAAACGATGCCTAGAAATGGAGAAAGAGGCCTTTCTACATGCCCTTCTGTGTTCTTATTTAATCGTTACGTCTTGCTTGCGATTTTTTGGCCCAGCCATCGTTTTAAGTCTGTTAGCCAACTTTCTAAAATATTCTTATATGTCACAGTATCATGTTTCTCCTTTTGTCTTAAATCAGGTATAGAAAGGTGAAAGTATATTCTGTCTTGAAGGCTCCATCAAGTGTCCTTTCCCGTTCTTTTCGAGAAGGGCCTTTTAGAACTGTAGGAGTATGTCCTTGAAGCAATCACAAATATTCTTACCTTTAGTTTTTCTGGGTACCAGTCCCGTCAAACGGATGTTAGTCATAGGATGCCTCATGATGGTTTCGTTGCTCGATTGGAAGTTCAAAGAATACTGAACCTGGAAGAATAAGTGTCCCCGGTCATACCGCAAACAGTCACTTAACACTGTTCCATGTTGAGTTAATAAAAGCTTCTGAAACACGACTGAGACTTCTTTCTCGGCTTATCTCGGTTAAGATAAGGGGAACGAGCGAGTTCGTGGCGAGTTTCATTTGCCATCAAAACTGTATTTTTCTGTTTAAAAATGGATGTAAGGCGGTGGCTATTTCTCTGATTTATTTAGAAAAGACAGATAACATCGTGAAGTATTTTATTGTGAGGGAATTGAAATTAATCCTAACTTTAAAGGGTGCCCACTGGTTTGGACGGAAATTGATTTTTTATATAGTAACAGATATAGAAATTGGAAGTTTGTAGCCATTCTCCGAACAAACATTGCACGAATTCCACTCTCTCAAGCTTGAAACCCGACGTTTTTTCGTGCCAGAAAGTTCTGCCTCACTCTAAGACTCTTGTTTTCTCTCGGGATTTTTACTTTATCAATTCAGAAACCAACTAATTGTATCATTGCCATGGAAAATTGCCAGAAACATTTCGATACAGATCGTTAATTTTTTTTTATTCACTGATCTCGTTGTTAGCCGATAATTGCTTAACAGTACCACTAATCCCATCATTTCGTTGATTTACGATTACACTTGCACTCCTCCGTTGTGCTTAGCTAGGCGTGGGAAAATTTCTTTTCTTGGGTTATTTTTGCTTTTCACATAAGAGGTAAAAAAAAAAAAATAGTGATCAACTTTCTCGACTGGAAAATAGATACAAGCCATTTTCCTTAGCTCGATTGATTTGCTTTCTCATCCAAATGTGTCGATTTTCAAACAAAAACAAAGTTTACGTTTAATCACTTCCCTTTTAAATCCGTATCCATTTTATTTTCTAGCCATGATATTGATGTAAGAAGTTTCAGTTGTCCAGTGCTCTCGAATTTTATTTTACTTCACTTCAGTCTTTTTTTTTAATTTAGGGAGACTACCGTCATCTTAACTGAATAGAGCAATTGGAAAACTTGCTGTAAGAGATAAAGAAATTGAAGAACAACGGGAACATAGACTTTTTACGACACTATTAATGATTCTATCCACAATCTTTCTTCAGTTTTACCCATTTATGCCTAAAAAAGAGAGAGTGCTTTACTTAATTGTACCTCTTACCTTTCCAGTGCCATTGAACCGAAATTTGAGGTCTTTGATTTTGTGGTCAATTGGAGGAATCATGCTGGACAATATCGGTGTCTTCAGTATGGGGGCCACAACACCATCTTGGACGAGGTACAAGTTCGTTTTTAAATCTGATGACATAGAAGTAAACATTAGACTCTCTTCGTACCAGTTATTTCATCGTGGAAACTGGTTCATGCCGGCTTTTAAAGCTTTACAACCAGAGTTGAAGAAATCATGGACATAGAGGACCACTTTTTTTAAAAATAGTGGTGCGTGGTCTTACATGACGGAGCTTAGTAAGGTGAAGTTCTATAATCTAATTTTAAAAATGTGTCATGACGTTCATTTAGGAAGATATATGACGCAATCTATGTTAGGTTTTCGTCTTGAACAGGGGGTACCCAAATTAGGGGATTTTCTTAATCAGGGTCAGGGTCTAAAGGCCTTGGCGGCCTACAACCGAATCAAACGTTCTTGAAAGCCCCCTCCCCCCTTTCTTCCCCCCTTTCTTCCCCCCTTTCTTTCCCCCCCTTTCTCTGAAAGAAAAATTATGATAACATCGCTACATTCTAAAAAAAAATAATGATAATAAAAGAAGCTTATCAGCGGACATTAATTTTGTGATCGCCGGGCATTGCTTCATAAAATCACAGGGGAAGCCATTCATCAAGTTTTTATCTATATCAATAAGCCTTAAAGGTGCGCGATTTTGATTGATAACAACTCGCTAGTGGCTGGAGTCAATACTAGTTTGAAACCAAGGGTGTTTACATGTCCTTGCATAATACAAAGTTGTACTCATAACAGCATGTTTTCCTAGCAGCTGAACTATTTAAAAAAAAAAAGAAATCTGCAAATCATAAATAGACGTCAAATGTTTTTGTGTGGTCTGCCGTTAAAAACATGCCTCAAGATGAGTAACTGAATTAAGCTTAAAACCTATTCTTTTATCATTAATATTGTTTACGATAAAGTTACTGCGAAAAGCCCATCAAATCAATTAATACAATAACAAGCGGCACACGCACACAAAAAGAAAAAAAAAAGAAGAAGAAGAAAAAAAAAAAAAAAACGTTTCCGATCCATGCACACCAAATCATCAAAAAGTGGGCAAGTTTTCAGTAATGAGACGTGGCTTCTTTCAAAATTATTTCTCGTTATCGGATTGCTCTCATTTCCTTTGGAATGAAAATGAAAAATATGTTAAACGTTTGTCCGGCGTTTGTGCACAAGGACACCAATATACTCCAGTTTTCACCTTTCCTTTGCATGCCAGACAAAACAAGGAAGAGTCAAATGACTTTGTGGTCCAAATTACCACGACAAATAGTCGATGTCTCCTCCGATGACACAGCATGCAAGGATAAATTCCTTGTGGTCTTCTTGCACAATCAGAGCCACTTTAAAAAGGAATCAAGTCTTAATAGAGAGCTATTTGGCCCTGTTGGGGAATTATTGACAATACTGCAGGTGACTCTATCGAAATTTTACTGAGAGCATGAAAGAATTGCTTATTGAGAAAGGATGCCGAAAACTGTCCCCTTTTGCTGTTTATCCGGATTTCTCCGTGACTCTACCCGACTAAGCCGTGGAACGAAAATAACTCTGAGACACCAAAACGCGATAACAGACGTCATGTTGCTCTGAAGAGCTGACGAAAGTTGTAGATTGTTCTGAAAGTGGTGGCTTTTCATCTACACTAATAAAACCAACAATGGAGAACGCATGACGCCATCGTTATGAGCGACTCCAGGATGGCCATTCCTAGGTTGAATATTTGCTATGAAATTTCTACAACGGTGTATTTGGTTGCAACATTTCCATTCAAAAAAATGCAAAGGATGCCTAGATTTGTCTTTGTGGTCACTGATTAAATCAATGCTCAGACATCAGTTTCGGGGTGAAAATAAACTATGTAGAATCTGGATTTATGCAAAAGAAAGTCGCTGTTTGCAAGATTTGTGCTTTATTTACTTACCATAAAGAAAACGCGATACCTCTTTTGCCTCCAGGAAAACGTTCAGCTTTGCAGAGCAGTTGTAAAAGAAGAGCAAAGAAAACAAGATGAAGGCTTTGAGAAAGTGGCGTGTTTGTAGCCCGGCCATAGCTCTTGGGAGGGGGTTTGCGCTCCTCTGTCTAAGCGTTCGTGATAGTTAGTTGAACTGTTTAAAATCAATGCTGTCACAGCTTTCGCTTATAAAGACAACATCATTAATAATTACGGTAATTAAAGTCCGCAAATGAAACCCAATGACAGATTGGTTAAGCTTGTCATCTGATTTAGCCACAAAGTAAACAGTTGTTAAAGCAATATCGTGAGTTGTGAATAGAGCTGACAATTCTTCAAGCCAAGACTTTCCTTTGATGCACAATACGCCACTGGCGCACATGTCATCTGTGGCGTCTGACTTATAAACCGCGACGTGAGTTTATTTTGAAGATTATTTCTGAGACGATTTTCTCTCTTTAGGGAAAACAACAAGGGGTGGAAAATGAATGACTTGTGGATAAACTGAAACAGGTGAAAAAGAGGGCCACAGCTGTACAAATTAGGAAAGCAGTCGAGAACAATTAACGCAAATTCCTTTTCGAGGCCACTGTCGTTAATTTTGATTCACTGATAGTGAATTTCCGGACCCTCTACATTCCTGCTGATCCTGGGTTTGATTCAAGCTGTTCCTCTGCAGGACAAGAATTTTCAGCAAAAAAAAAAAAAAACAGCTACAACAACAACGAGTGTTCCCATAATGCATCCCTACCATCTGTCTTCGTAGTCGAGGAGAAAAACATATTGCATGGATGTTTTAGGGTCAAAATGGGATGTTTCACAAAACGTCAGAACCCTCGTCCTATGTATTTACACTCAAAGATTATTTAAAGAAATGTTATTCGTCGTAAAAGGAAGCTGTTTACAAAAAGGAATCACTGTAACCAGAAACGATGCGCGCCGATCTAGTTTCTTTTCGACCGCAGTAAAAGAGGACTATAGTTTTAAGCTTTCCTTCTCAGAAGGTAATCTTAAGCTTCGCTTCAATGGACGTCAATTTTACGTATAGAACGATAACGTTGTTGGCAAGTGAATAAAGCCAGTCTTTGTTCCATTGGTAGTAACCGTTAAAGCTCGCTAGATAATAACAACCATTTCAGAACTCATCTATTCGGAAGGAATTATCAACGTAGTACAGAACTCATCAATTCAATTTGAACTCATCAATTTCATTTAAACCAGCTATTTGCTGAACTGGGCTACCCTGTCTAAATATTCGAAACAGATAAATAAATAAATAAATAAATAAATGGAAGGAAGATTCCGGCTACAATGGCTTTCAGTAGTTAAGTAACACTGCCAAGTTGGGACTGATTTCTAACTTGATAAGAAAGCCGGACTGGCGCCAAACTTTGCCTCATGTATCAAGGTAAACCAGGAAAGCCCACCTTCCGTCTTTACTAGTATCGTCAAAACAACCAAAGAAAGGTCGAAACCATTAAAAGTAGATATCTTTTACTGATACTTGTACTTGATTTGATATAGAATTGATCAACAACCACAGTTAGCCATAATGCAACCACAGGTTACAAAGCTTCATTAGGGTGGCGAATTTCTTTTTTTATTTTAAATCATCGTCTTAAAGTTCCAGAAAATCAACATCCCTGCTGAGAACTTGATTTACATTAAAGATATTTGTGGACTTTGAGGTTGTGGCCACTGATCCGGAAACCTACGACGTTAAAGTGATTTTTTTTTTGTCTCAATATGCTTACAACAAATCACTTTACAAAATTCACATAAAGTGATCAATCCTTATTCGATTAAGACGCAGTTTTGAGCTCAGAGCTTTCTTCTTGATACACTATCATTTGACGAGACGAAACGGAAGCAGAAGAATTTTAAAGGCGCTCGAGCGATGGGGGCAAAAGTATCGAGATGACTGCCAATAAATTTCGTTAATGAAGTTTCGTTAATGACGTTTTAACTCCATTTACGTCCATTACGATCACATTGATGAGACTGTAGAGGATTTCTATCAGCGGAATTGGCAGATAAATACAAATCAATCAATGATGTTCGTCACAAAAGGATGTTCAAAATTTAGCGAATCAGGTTACAACATCAATCACAAGCGCAACCATCAATCACACAGGACTGCAGTTGTCACAAAGGAAGGTTTAGTATATGGGAAGCTGCATGACGGAATTAAATTCTGCTCAGGGTAAAGTAAACAGTAACCTTTACAAAAGTAGTAGAGGGCCTCTTGATATTTCCTGGATCAGGGTTTTGCTGTTTTTGGTATCCGTCCAGAGGAAATCGTTCTTGTATTGTCCCCGTATTGAGAGCGAGGCCCAGGGTACCCTTAAGCGTCTAAGTGTAAGTTGAATTTGTTTAGGAGTGGAAGTAAAAACATTTGGTCAAGTTTGATCTTTAAGAACAAGAGGAAAAAGTATCTTACCTCTAGCAATCAAGTAGCATTAATATTATTCTCTTGGTCCAATTTTTGTCAACGATCATCGCATACAACTCGCGTGCTCTGGCTGCTTGTTTGCCGATCTCGAAAAAATCGCATTGACTACAACCAACAAGGTGTATCAGGATTGTAGCCGTTTTTATACCATTTTAGTCATTTGTCGCTCGCATGCGATGATCATAAATTAAGCAAAAATCGTACCTTGGAGTTTAGCCCTTTCTATGTTAACTAGCGTGCACTCGCCGTTTACGGTAAGCCGAGCTTCCTGATATGATGTCACGTGAAGAGGATTTCCACGTACTTTACCATTTTAAAACACAAATAGAATAAGAAAACATCAACCGATTAGTATTCTGAATTGTTTTTGATATGATTCCGGAAATCCCATTGTATTCTAGAGTAAACGACCTCGTCCACTTGCAGTCTGCTTTTCGTATGATGCACGATCCTCGCAGTAAATAGCGCCATCTACTGCGAGGATCGTGCATCATACGTATCTAATACCGCAGTTCAAAATATATGAACTTCATATATTTCATTGTATCTGAGTCTGCTTTTGGTTTCTTCTCCTATTACGAGCCCACGCGCGAGGAGGGAAAATAAATGTGTCATTGACGTCTGAACGGGAAGGGTACTGTCTTATTCCTACATTTAATCCTCCTAATCTCTTCTCATATAAAGCTGTCGCTCCCTCACCCCATAATGAAAGAAAAACAGATTCTGAACACTGAAGGGGTGAATCTAGTCGGGGGTTCGACTCCGTCCCTATAGACCACAACTTCTGAAACGACAGGATCGCAATTTACTACTCAATGTAAGGTACTTCAAAATCCATTCGTCTTGAAAAAATTCTCAGATTACTTAAGCTATAGAGTAAAGAGTAAATCTTGCTTTTTCTGATTCAAAGTTTTGACCCCCCTCCCATCAAAGATGGTTGGATCCACCCCTGTGGTGAAGCAGGCTCTGAAAGGGGGCCGGAGGATAAGCAGAAAGAGGTTTCTTTTTTCTGAGTGTGATCTCATTTCTTTCCCCAACTCGTTCGCTTACCCCATTTGATCGAAAGCATGGAACAATTTGCAATTCTGCTACAATTACAGTCCATGCAAGCTTCTATGCATGTATTAACATGCTTTGTTTCCTTGGTATATGAGAACTTATACTTCTATTAATACCTATTTTCATTTTTTCTTGGCATACAAAATATTGCTGAATTTATGTATATCATAATGCACGATTCAACAGTACACCGATGAAACGTTCCTTCAATCGCAACAGTGATCAGACCATGCGACCAACCAGCTGATTAGAACATGATCAGGGAAAAAACCTTTTGCCCAGCCCAAGGAAGGTTTTGTCTGAGCCAAACGTGGTCGTACCCTCTGAAAAGTGAGGAATAAAATGATCAGTGACCTGAAAGAACCAGACTTTACACCTTTTGTTAACTTGCGTAACAGTCTTCTCTGTTTCCTTTCAGCAAAGAACAGAGAAGTTTGAGCTAAGCGGAAGTCACGCAAAAGCGTGAGACAATGGCAAGTCTATTTTAGCGTGACTACCCCTCACCGCGTCACGCTTTTCTCGTTTTTCCTGAACAGAACAGAAAAGACTGTTACACAGGCTGGCGAGACATAAAATTCCCAACTGCTTGGCTGAAGAACTTACTCTTTGGTGGTGGCTTCTCCATATACCAGTACATATGTCCCTCTTTAGCCCTGGCATTTACCGATGTCCTCAACAGTTTGGGAGGCAGGGGTCGTGGCTTGTGATAGTCTCCTGGCAAATTACCGTGTAGCTCTTTGACGAGAATGTCGCTGAAATTGGGCCCACCAATACGCATTAGGGTCCCGTCAATTTCGTGTCGGAACTTTAGGAGTTTTTTCTCTGACTTCTTGTCTTAATTAGAGAGAAAAGGATCATAATTTTCTTTCCTTTAAACAAGACAGCTAACTTACCTCTCGGACTTCGTGCGAATAAATCTTATCTTGTCGCTTTTGCACTGCAAGTTTTTATACGTGAGCTAGGCGGAGCACACTAAAATTGCACGTAGCATGAAGCGATTCCTGAGGACCATTATTATTACCTATGGATAGACTTGTCCATCGCAAGTTACCGACAGCATCAGTTTCACCGGATTCCCTAACAATTTACATCTACTGGTCGGAGAGGCACTGAAAGGAAAGTGTCTTGCCCAACTGAATCCGAAGTTCGATGGACTAGCCATCAGACCACGTTGTCACCTTCATTTCTTCGGAAAGCCCCACCTTACAATACTTGCAATAATTCGATGAGTCAAAAACGATTACGAAACTTGTTCATATTTACCTGGATGTTGCTCGTGCCGCATTCGATCCCCGTGGAAAGTCTTTACTTCTCCTCTGGTGTCTCGAATGGAAAATGTGGCAACCTTAGGGCAGAGAAAAAGAATTTGGAAAATCACGCATTGGTCACGAAAGTGTTGTATACGGCTTCGATATAAAATAATACTGTTTAATCATGCAGTCAGATCGTCCTTGAGTGAGGAGTTTTTCTTGACGTTTCGACAACCTGAGCAGAAGTCATCATCAGAGTCAAGTGAAGAGTGTTGTCAGTCGATTGTTGTAATTAAGTTCGGTATTGACCATCCATGCGATTGAAATTGAACATGACAGTAATACCAAAGTATTTACAGCAGAATTAAAAAGAAAAAAAGGCTCAACAGGATACTGAGTGGGAGATTTGCGACACCAGTTAGTATACAGTAAATAGTTTTAACCCGGGGGTAACATGTGATCGTGTTGTGGGGATATTCCACAACCATAGAAGGACAGTTGTCGGACGTTTCGACAACCTGAGTGGAAGTCACTCATCATCAGTCAAGTGAAGGGTTGTTCTTGTTAACTAATTTGCTATTCTTTTTTTTTTTTAACATAGTTATATCGTATATATGTATGTATATATATAATTTTCCATTTTAATAGTTTTAATAGTTTTATATTTGCTGCACATGTATTAATACCAGCGGTTCCTTATGGAATTGCCGACACATTTTTTGCAGGGTAAATAAAGATTATTATTATTATTATTATTATTATTATTATGCAGTATACACGTTTGGATGCTAGTGAGCTAAGCAAGATAGGGCGAAAATTCGTAGCCTATCTGCATGACAGGACTGTTAACTATAATAATATCTAATACTACTTAAATATAAATGATCAATATAAAACGATAAAAGTGTCAATTGGCCCAATACTAAGATGTTTTTTTTTTTTTT